AGCATTGTTAAGGATTAATAGAAGTATGCCCAAGGTTTTCAGCCTTAATGATAAGGTTCTTCTGGGCTTGCCTATTCAGCTATCATGGCACATAGTCTGCTACTCTTCTTGGATCCTGCTGTGTATCCTCACTTCAGTCACACCCAACTACTTCCCAGAGTAGCTAAGAGGCTCCTAAGGTGAGACAGTCAAAAAGATATTCAGAGAAGTGAAGTGATATCTCCAAGGATGTCCTCAGATGCCTAAGCCTTCGCGTTTTCATCATCCCTTTCTGCTGCAGCACTCGAGAGCTGTCCTTATACCCAAATTATGTCTTCACATTGTCTGTCTCTGCTACTTGACTGAGATTTTGAGGGCATCTTATCTCATTCATCTTTTAATTATCTGCACCTGGTCCTAAGTAGGAAACAACATGAGGTTTAATGCATGTGGATGAAAACTGGGTCGTCTTGCAGATGTATTTGTATATGCACTTGTTTATACGTTAATAAGACACTGATTTCTCACGGATTAATCAAACTCAACACTGTCATGGCTACGGACTCAACATAATGCCTTAGCACTTAATGAGATACACTTACAGTGAAGTGTTCAAAGGTAATGACAAGCTAGACAAGGTTGCCTGCTATAAGAGATCCTAACCTCACACATGCAAATTGCACCCACCATTTCTATTTCTCATATCGTACACAAAATGACAATGATCGGACTTAAAATTTCAGAAAACAATATAAATAGAAGGATGAATTTTTTCCTGTATTTTGATTTATTCATTAATATAAATAAGCTTAATGCTGTATGTGTGTATGATTAGCAGCATTTCCTTACATACAGTTCATGTTATTAGAATTTTACTCTGATCTAATGAGAGAGGTGAGATAAAGGTTCATGAAAGGGAAACCATATTTTCCTGCTTTTACTGAGAGGTAGCAGAAACAAAAATGGGCGGGGGGTGGGGAGAGAGTGTTGTATAGGTGTCAAAATGATATTGACAAAAGGCAACAGTAGTAAATTTGCATTTCCATCTTGACTGATTCAGGCAGTATGAACAAATTTACCAGGGCAGGTAGAAAAAAAAAAAAAAAAGAGTGGGAAGGGGCCTGCTACAGGTTTTCAAGAAACAAAACAATACAGATCATTTTTAAAGATCCTGTACCTACTAAAGGGTAGGGCACAGAACATGTTCCAGATTTTCTATATACAACATATATGTTCACCAAATGCTTTCTAAAACTGTGCAATTGCATGTTTGGCCTTGATTGGAACTTTAGAAATAGTGTTGGCTTGTATCTAATTATGAGTATCCTTACCTAAATGGCCTGCATACACCACTGCAAGACATGAATTACAGAAAAAAAAAAAAATAGACAAACCAGGTCTTGTGGAATCCACCTGGTAATCACAATCCTGGTAGATGTGTTGGGACCTCATCTCAAAACAAAACAACAAAAAGGACCAGACTCTTTCACAGCACAGGATGCTTAGCATTTCCATCTGTTTTTCCTCCATCTCTCTTTTCACACATCTTCTCTCCCTCCCCTCTTCTTCTTTCTCCTCATCTCCTCTCTTCACTTTTCTTTGTAAAATGTTTCTTTTCCTCATTCAATAGTCTTGGTCAGTAATTCAAACCAAAGGAAAACATAAACGGTCCTTCACCACTAAGCCCTCAGGACTTCAGTGATTTATAGTCTCTTTCCTCAGCAATATTTGCTACAAAGCAACTGGAGGTAATATTTAGAGGAAGTGGATATTTTCCACAATATCACCTCCTACTCCTCAGAGCATTTCCTGGATATCCATCAGCAGTTCATAAAGACTTTAACACTGTATGAGCAATATGTCGACTTCCCTTTGCAATGGCAAGGAAAAACATATAAAAATAAACTTCCACTGAAGAGGACTGCAATGTCTCCCCAAATGAAACTGGCTGATAAACCAAATAAAATAGGCAGAAAAAAATGGAAGTTGATTTTTGCTTGTTTTCACGTACCCTGCCCAAAAGTTGTACACTGGGAAGATTTACTTCCTTTATTTACTTTTGTCTCTGAAAAGAGGAAGGCAGTCGTGTTTCCTTACGTGTATATCTAGGATCTTAACGGAAGATAATGATTATTGTTGTTAATATTTTATAAGAAATCAAAGTAGAGATATCTGGAACACTTGAAATTGAATGAAAATTTAAAATCCATAAATAATGCTTTAAATGTGTATACTTCCCAAATTAAAATACACTTCCCAAATTAAAAAAGACAATTTACTTGGTGATGGCTCTTTGAAAGGATGTTGATTTAATATAGTGTTTTTGTTCTGCAAGCTGTAGTCATGCATATAGTTACATTGCTTTTCTTTTTGTCTGTGCACCATCTGTGTGATATAATATTTTAATCAACTCCCTTCTTCAAAATGCAAAATAAACATTTGTTTAAAAGGGAACCTTATATCCATACCTAGAAATAGGAATGTTATTTTTACTTACCACACTACAAGGTAAACTTTGAAATAAACTGAATGAATGCAAAACATTGTTCTTAGATTTAAACAAGACACTTGGAGTCTGCTTAAGGCTCTGATGACAAGTCAGCAGCATTCTGCTTGTTAGTGGCATCAGCACAGGCAGGAATAGAAATGTTCTCTCTTGACAAAAATTAGAAAGATAATTGAAAGTGAGTAATTTACCACCTACTTTTTCCATGGAGCTAGGATCTGTGTCACGCCAGAAATCACAGCACCAGGGATACTACTTGCCTCATGCCAGATATTGGGCTCTTCTAAGAACTTTGGGTCAGACACAAACCATAGATAGAAAAGACAGTAGTTTCTGAACAGATGCAGGATTTGAGGAAATCCTTATATTTCACATTCTTGCTCTGCAAAAGGCAAGTGATTACACCTGCATCTCCAAATCATTGTGTGGGATAAACAGAATGACGTCATGTAAAACACTAGCACTGGGTTTCTCAGTTAATTCAAATTATCATTGACTCTTAGCACACTTACCTTCCTATTTAATCTATACCACAAACATGAAGAAGTCTCCATCCACTTAAGCCTCCGTTGCTATACGTTGTGTCTTCCTTCTTTTCACAGGAAGCATATCTTGTAGAATTCAAGCTTTGCCTGAACTCTGAGTTTATTGATAATCTTAGGAAATTATAACCAATATTTTGATAAAGTTAAATCTGCCTATCATAGTGTGAATTCCATTAGCAAAAGGAATAGATATAGATGGACACATAGGTAGGTAGGTAGGCAGGTAGATAGATAGATAGATAGATAGATAGATAGATAGATAGATAGATAGATAGATAGATAAACAGGTAGACAGACAGACATATGGGCAGGCATACAGATGACATATGAGTGGAGTAAACTAAGGTTCTTGAAGAAACGTTAAGACATGTGCTTTACAGTTCCTGAATACTGATAGAATGACTTCATGACTGTGAATTAATTAAATGCTGCAGATTGAAGGTCAAATTATTTTGGACTAACTTTAGTCCCCTTCATAACTATTTACTTCCAACTTTTGTATCTTAACTTATATTCTTTTAACTGTTAGACAAATCTTTTGAAATGTATTATATACTCTATCTCTCTACAGCCAAGAGTGTTCTAACATTTGAAGGTTATAGGATAAAGATCCCTGTAAGGCTTGGGAAGGCTGCAGAATGAAGTCCAGAAGGTATAATAAAAACATTGTCACATTGTCATATGAGAAAAGAGAGTTGACTGAACACCCTAGTGAGGCCATCTAAAACTCAGAGTGCCCAGAAGTAATATGAGGCTCACTATAATACAAGACTACACATCTTTGAGTTAATGCATGTGCCACAGGAATGTACTTTTAGGAATACATATAATAGGAAGGCTCCCTAAATGAGTAGATAAACCCTTGCAATGCAAATAAGCTGTGTCACCACTCTAAAGTCTCTTGAAAGCAGTGAGTCTGTATGCAGTGGGGCTACTAAGCTTTCCTGTCTCTCTCCCCTGGCTACTTTCCTGCCATGTGAAGTGAATTTCCTCTTGAACTGTTTCTGCTTTCTGCTGCCATTGTGTATCTCTGCTCAATTCTTTGTTTGGAGGCATAAAAATCTAAAACTCTTAGAAGTAAGCACAGACTCCCCAAATCAGGCAATAATACCTGCTCTATTGTAATCTGCTGACTTGCTGTCGTTGTTGATGTATTTGACAAATGCACTAATTTTTTATTTTTCTGTGCCGGTAAAAGTGCATATACCATTCAAGGTCAGCAGAATTCATATTCCCAAGCCAAAGTCATTTATGTTTACTCAGAATATGGAATCTTGTAGGCTCTTGGGTATCAAAGCTGTTTTAGATCTAAGGCAGATAGGTAATAGATAGAAAGATGATAGATAGATGGATAAATAGATGATACATAGAAAGATATAGATGAGGATGATAGATGGATAGATTTGATAGGTAAGCAGATGATAGATAATAGATAGATGATGATACAATCAAGTGACATAATGATAAAATACAAATTAATTACCTCTAAATGTGTCTAAGTAGAAAGATTTTGAAAGTAGTAAGATTATTCTCTGAAATGAAACTTTGAAATTAAGTCATTTATGTATAACATTCTGGAGAAGAAAAATGTCCTTCTTAAGACAAAAAGCAACTGAAAAGTCCCATCAGACTCCTCTAAAAGGCTTCTTGAACATCAAATATCTTTTGCAAAACACTTCATTGATTTAAGTGTAAATTAATCAGAAATGCACTGATTCCATCTTCCCTAGAATACACATGGATTTTCACATTCAGATGCATAATGCTTTTCCTATTCTCCACGTCATCATTAGAAAGAGCCTTTTAGGTGCTCAAGGCTGACTCCCAAGCATGCAGCTTTGCCCTTGATCCTTGCAAAGCAAGAGAAGTAGGCACTTTGCCAGCGAACTTTTTTGGTTCTCCATCTTAATATGAAGGAGAGTAATGTGTTTCTTAGAATTCCATAAAGAAACAAAATAATTAATAAGCAATGCGACCTTGTCAGTCTTGGTCTCTTTGGGCAGGAGACAAGCACTACAGCAGAAACTAAGGTGTTAAAATAATGGAAATATGTTAGCCAATTTCTACTCTGACCAGGTGTCTCTGGTTTCCTCACCTAAAAAATGGGGGTACAGACCTATTTATCTTGCAGCTCACTGTGGGGAAATATAAGATAATAAATCAATAAAAATTTATTGAGCATTTCTTCTGTGCTCCTGGGGATTCAGAGACAAATAGCCAAAATATGTTTTCTGCTCTTAAAGGAAAATCTCAGCTCTGGATAGTGGGAATCTATTTTAAAGCTTTGTCTTTGGGGATGGAGTGGCATGTCGGAGGGTATAATAGTAATGGGAACAGTAAAGTTGGCTTGATGGGGGGTCACTTGCTTCCTGAAAGGGACATCGCTTTATAAACACTCAGGTATTAAATTATGAGCTGCTAAGAGGCAGAGGTATATATTCATTAATACTCATTGCCATTGTTATTATGATTGCTATGAGTGGTACTTATTGTGATCATGCATCACCATTAGGGATCTAACCTGTCTTCCTATGTTCACACTAATTGTGTCAGTCAGACATAGCTTTATATCATTTTGATTATTCAGCCTTTAGTTCTGCTTTCTTGACTGTTTTATTTTTGTCCAAGGAGATTGAGTTTCCTGGGTTTGCTTTGTTTTAACCATGATTTTCTCTCTCTCTTCCCAGTGAAATCTGTTATCTCCTTGAGTTCCCTACTCCGATCTGTTGGACCATCTGATTTTCTAAGTCCAAATCTGGGTCTATGTCTAGTTAGCTGCTGAAAATAATACCATAGTTACTTCTGCAGCCATATTCACTTATTGATCACCTTAAATAATATGATCGCTAAACATGGACTATAGATTGGGCTTTAAGCTAAGTTTAGAAATTGCAGATACGAATAATAGACTCCTCCTTGCTGTCCAAGAAAGAAACAGCTCTCACCTCAAAGGGATAAAATGAGCCATGTATGAGTGAACATGTTTCACTGAGGTAGCAGTTTCATGAGATTTTATAGTAATAGAATAAAGAAAGTTATAATATAACACAGTTTTCAAACATGTTGGTATGTATATTAGGCAGGTAAATTACAGCAAAGCAGGAAATACTCTGCTCTAAGCCTTGGATGCTGTCTTATAGCATTCTTACTTAGCTCTTTGGTTGGCAAATACTAGGGGTCTGTTCACAAAGTCTAAAGGATTATCTAATAGGCACAAAAAATGAACATATGTGCAGGAGTCCAGTGAATGTATATTAAGTGGGCTTAAGATGCCCCAAGATAACATAGATCTGGACATGCAGGATTCAAAACTCTTAACATCATTGAAATTAGACACAACTTCTTTCCAGCCACTCTTAGTCATACTATTCAAGGAGTTCAGAATCAATCAAGTAATGACAGCAGACAAAGAAGCATACATAACAGGACAGTATATGAAGCCCCACACTAGATAGTAAATAGTGACAGGAGCATGTAAGTGGGCAGATGAGTAAAGACTGAGAACACACTTCTATTGTGTAGCTAGTACCAGTAACGTGAAACGTTTCCACCCCCCTTAGAGTGGGGAGGGAGGCTCCTAAAACTGAAAAAAAAAATAAAGCGACATTATAAAAGCAGTACATAATTGCTGAGAAGAAAAAGACAGAGACTACACAGCTGAGCTGCCTACAAATGATGTCTGAAGTCCTAATAGTGCAGCTTTCATGAGTTGACCAATACACTAGGTTTCTCGTTGATGCAGATACCTTTGAGTCACCCATGCTGTTGCAAGTAAGCACTTATCCATGCTTCTGCAAGTAACCCAGTAAACTTCTTGGTTCTCTGAGCTATACGAGGGTGGAATCATTTGATGGATCTTCCATTTGTGCAATCCCCAAGCAGATTTTTTTTTCACATGTCAATGTCACACGGCAACATTATATTTGTGGTTGTGTTAGTTAACTTTGTGTTTCGGTGAGAAAATACTTGACAGATTATAGGGAGAAAAGATTGGTTTTTGGCTCTTGGTTTTAGAAATTTCACCTGAAAGTTTGCATTGTTGTCTTCTGGTCTGTGGTGAGGCAGTAAAATAGTGAGGAGGTTATACTGCCCTCTGGAGGCTGGGAAGTAGAAATGAAGAAGGGCCAGGGCTCTAATATAGACTACAAGGATTTGCCTCTTTGCTCCCATCAAAGCCACATCCTAAAGATGCTAAATCTTTCAATGATGTTACTGGCTTCCAGTCCTCTAGCACATAGACTACATGTAGCACATTTTACTCCAAACCACAAGAGAGATGGATATGGAAATACAGCATGAGTATTATTTATTTGAGAGAGAATGTCATATCTTTATGTTCAGGGTCTGTTCAATCAGTTGATCTCCATTAGTCTCAGCATGTAGAGCCAAACCTAAGGGCAACTCCAAGGAGTGACTCTGATGTAGGTGTTAGGAGTGAGACCCTCAATATTAATCAGCAACACAATAATGCATATTCAAGTAGATAAATAATTAATGTCAAAGAAAATAAAGTTGCTCATTTTATAAATTAAAGCCTCAGTCAAGATCTGGGAAAAGCCGTACCGTCCTCCTCAGCCTTGATTGATGAATTCTACCCAGATTTCTTCCCTTAAGGCCTTTCTATCTACAAGGCTATTCAGAGTTTGATCTTGAGAGCCTATGGCTTCCAGGGAATTAGATGAATAAAGCAGCCTCAGCAGAGGTCATCTGGTATGAAGCTGACCCACGGTTGGCACAGCACTTTACCTCTTAAGTTCTGGCCTGTTCAAGAGCATCCTGCCAAAAGTTCTGTACCCAGGCATGAATATGGATGGCCAATCTTTTTCCTTGTCTCTAAGCTCTGGTGCTTTCCTGACTTACAGCTTATACTGGAGGCCATTTCATTGGATGGTGGCAGATTTCTCCTTCTATAAAATCTTCCTTTATCTCGTGTATGCCTTATGAAAAATCACGTTATTTCTCCTTTAGGTCATTAAATAAGAAATACTAAACCATGTTTCATTATCAGATTTCAAGACTGAAATAACTTGCTTCTAACATTAGTTGATTTTAGTTTTATAATTATTTAGATAGGAGAAGGGCAGATAGAATAAAAAAGCCTGCCTTTTTTCTTTCTTTCTTTCTTTCTTTCTTTCTTTCTTTTTCCTTTTTGGTGGTGGAAGAACTTGGGAGTGAACTGAGAACCTCATTCACACTGGGAGGTAAATATTAAACCACTGAACTATTTGTAAATCCCAAGAAAGACTAATTTTTTCCTCCGAGAAATATTGTTGCATGAACAAGGTATAAACTATTTAGAAAATGACAATTTAGAAAAAGATGCAAGGAGGGTGGTTTGCCTGGAGCTCAGAATGTGCTGCAGAACAGTGGGAGGTACCATTTGAAGGGTGATGGAGAGCTGGCAGAATGTTTTGTCTGGCCAGGAGACAAAAAGAAAATCATACAATTAGGACAGAATACACTCTACGGATGTAGGAAATGATCTATTCTCTGGCTGTCTGTTCTTCTCAAGTAGTGGGGATATTACAGGGTCACATAAGAGAGGATGACTACATGCATCCATAACTAGATAGTACTCTTTCAACATCCTATGAGTGAAACATTCTTATACACACAGAGACAAGTGAGGCCCAGAGAAGATATCAAACCAGTTAATTAGCTAGTCAAAATTAAGGAGATAATCATGCTATTCCAAAAGATGAAACAATACTTTTAAAGGGCCTCAAATACCTTACTTTTTGTTGCAAGCATCAGTCCCTTTCTGTGACATCTAACTAAGTCATAGGACATCCCAATTCCATTACTATAAAATGAAGACATGCTGTAAAGACTCTTCTGTCTCTAAAAGCCTGTTACTGAGAAGCTTGTGTAATAACAGACCTGCTCTTCTCACACAATTGTTGCAAAGATCACATAGGAAAGTCAGTGTGTTTAGACTGATATAAAGTACTATACAAAGGTTAATTGTAGTAATAGAACTGTGATAATCTTAAATAACAAAACTGAGCAATTAAACACGACTTTGAATGTGTTTTCATTCTATTATTCCCAAACAACATCCACGAGTATATGAGTATATTTATTATGCTGAATCAGAATCACTTCGCCTAACTCCCCTCCCCCTCTCCCCCGGAGCTGAGGACTGAACCCAGGGCCTTGTGCTTGCTAGGCAAGCGCTCTACTACTTACATAAATCCCCAACCCCCTTTGCCTAGTTGTTTTTAAGAGATATAAATTATCTTTGAAAGGTTTGGTTTAACTTAGTACCTGTGGATTCTGGGGTATATATTGTAGACCAATTTACCACTAGGTGTTGTGATAGTGTTTGCAAATGTAAACATTAGCTTCTTTTTAATTTCAACTGATGAGTCCTTTGTACATCGTGATAAAACTTGAATTAAAAGTAGTTTATAAGGGGCTGAAAGTATCCCTCTGTGATAGAATGCATATCCAACTTTAAGGAGAAGATAGATTTGAGTTCCTGTATGGCACACACATAAAAAGTAGATTATTATAATCTCACATTAGTGCAATTTTAATATTGAGAAGTAGCATCAGGCAGCATCCATCTTGATTTATACTTTTTTTTTTATTTGTTGTTACATGCGTGTGTGATTGTGAATGATTACGTGGATGTGAGTGCAGGTGCCCTTAGACACTAGATGGGTGGGTCCACCAGAGCTGGAGTTATAGGCCCAAGGTGAGTGTTTGGAACCGAACTCAGGTCTGTTAGAGCAATGCACATTCTTCAACACTGAGCCATATTTTCAGCCTTACTGTCAGACATTTTAAATATAAATTGTAGTCTTATTAATTGTGGGATCTGGGAAGAAATCACTTAAATTTCCTGATCCTTAATTTTGTGGTACATTGAAGTATGGAAGGATGAAAATAATGACTACTCTCCACAGAGTTTCAATAATTAGAGATGCTGTGAGTAAACAATCCAATGGGGCATATTATATGGTTGCTTGCCTTACTCTGCATTTGCCCTTTAAAATATTAAAGTCAGAGGATGCTGACCAAACATAATGCTGCATAATAATATCAATAAAAGAAACTCCAAGTTGTGTAACAGGTATCTGGAATCCAGTCATTTGAATAATGCCTTGGCATTTCTTCTGTGCTTAGGGTAACTATTTAATGGAGTGTTTGTCTGAATAAAGTTACCTTCTGTTATTATTATTTTGCATAAAATATAGGGAGATATGCCCAGTGTATGTATGTAAGATTCCTTTCTCACTCTTTAGCTATATTTACTATAGGCAGCCATGTTTGCAGGAACCACTACATTTTTCTTTTCTGAGTACTTTTTGCAGGCCTTATCATTCCAAATCTCTTAAGCAAATTCACTATTTACAGTGGCAATGGTTTTAACGCCACGTTTATGAAAATACAGAATCTTGATTATATTCCCCTATAGACTACTGAGGAGAATTTGAAACCCTGTTAGTAGATGAAAAGTGAGTCCAACTGTATATCAAATTGGGGCTGAGGAACTGAAATTGTTTTATAAGCTTCAATTAAGCCTCATACCACCCCCCTGAGGTAAGAAAGAAGTATTATGCGCTTTTATGGAGACACAAACTCCAAGCCCATGGAGAGGTTAATCAATTTGCATCAAAGGCCTTATAGCTGGTCTGAGGTGGAAGTGGGAACAAAACAGAATTTCTTCCTGGGGAGCAACTTACCTTCTTTTATTTGCCTGATTACCACAGCGCATGAAACTTGGGGGAAAATCATGATGAATGCTCAAAAGAAACCCCTGAGAAAGGATTAACGTTCGCTTTACAGTTTAGTAAATGAGTGATTTGTTTTGCATGCAAAAGCAACAACACCTTTTTTGTTTTGCCAAACACTTGTGTGGAAATGACCCTGCTGAGGAAAGAAAGAGGGAGAGTGGAGCAGTTCAGGAATGAGGACAATTGGTGGATTGCTTTTTTTCTTTCTTCCTTCTGCTTCTTTCTACATTGCAACCTGCGCAGATATTGCTCGCTAGAGGGCACTTGAAGTAGAAGGAAAAAAAAAAGCTTCGATATCCATCTAACAGGACCGGTGCCTGCGCAAGCAGAAGAGAAACGGACAAGCAGTAGCCAGTTTCCCACACGGCAGCACCTGTAATAAATGAGCAAAAACATCCTTAGACAGCAGTATTCAGCTTTGACTGACAAAGAAATCCTGCACACAGTCTCTGAAATGGCATTTTCTTTCAACTTTTCAGCATTTCTCAAATGCATGCACATGTGCCTTTCTCTTTAATAAATGACTTGATAACAACTAATCAGAACCAGAAACCTTATTTGATGCATAAGAGGACAATGTCCCAGCACTTCCACTTATCTGAAATCATCTTTGTATCTATAATGATATGTTAAAGGTAAGCACATGCGTTTAAATAATGGTAATTATCTAAAAGATGCTCAGATCAATTAAATCAAACATATTTTAATGTTCAATAAAGTATTTTATAATTGACAAGTAGCATATAAGAGGCGTGTTTCTCTTCTATTTTGCTTAAAATTAATGTGAAATATTTCTTCAACTTTTTTTTTTAAATCTTCTTAGCTCCCAGGTAAGCAAGAAGGGTCTGGGATCTTAATTTAGTTATTATTCCCATGTAAGATAATAAAAGAAAAAGAAAGAAAGATTAAAACCTAAATGTTCAGTGTTTAGTCCACAAGACCGGGCTGGCTTATGTGATAGCTTTGTCCAGTCCCTTTAAATCTATCTGCCTTCCCCTCCCTCCCTCACTTCTGTTCAGAAGCTGAATTGGGGCTTATCTCCTTTCTAGCACCTGGGAAGATGGGAGATAATGCCATTCTGAAGACCTTCTCCAAAATGCTCTCTGCACAGATGTGGTTTTTCAGAAAGTGTTTATACCTCCATTTACACAAAATATAATGGCAAGCTCGAGATGAGCAATTATAGTCAATATTCAGAGATACAGCCCTAATTTCAGGGACAGCTAAAACCAGTGGAGAATGCTCAGCATCTGTAGTTCTAAACTGCAGCCTTAGAGAGGATTTTACTTCAAGAACTGGTAATCACTTCTAAAACAAAGTTAGTTATTAAAGCCCATAATCAATACATCTGAAGTAATCACAGGGAGATTTAGGGTACTTACAAATTTTCTGTTTATTTCTGTTACTTCTGATAATATTTTGTTGTAACCAGAATACTTTAGTACAAAAAAAAGGCTTACTATAACACTCATTTTTTTCTTCCTCAATTTTACATTTATCATATGAAAAAGAAATTGCCTAAGGCTGTGGCTCTCAAATTTAGCAAGCAATGGGATTCCCTGGAACATTTGTTACAACCCAGATTTCTAAACAGCACCTAGATTCTGGGCCCCACATTTCCATTTCTGAAAAACCTTCAGAAGATGCTGGGGCAGAAAGCCTTCAAAGGAGCAGGCTGAGCAGCTCTCTCTTGAGGAAATACCCATAATTGCTCAGTTATTCAATTTTCTTAGTTTGGGCACCATCTTATATCTAATCTCTTAATGATTTTATTAGTTCATTGGTTTCAAACAATCTCATATAAGTTTTTAAAGCTATCCTGTTTAATAAATATTTATTAACTTTTCTGAAAAGCTCTTTTGTTCTTAAGACTTCTCCAGTTTTGTAATTTAAAAGAAGATTGAGGGGCTGGACTGATAGTTCTATGATCAAAAGCACACACTGCTCTTTCAGAGGACTATAGTTCTAATCCCAGTACCAACTCAGGTGGCTCACAACCTCCTGTAACAGTTCCTGGATGTCTGATGCCCTCTTCTGGCTTCTGCAGGCATCTGCATAGTAGTTAGACACATAAAGACAATTGACTATAAATGACCAAATCCTCTTAAAAGAAGTTCAATTTTATTTTCTTGATTCTTAACCCCCTTTTCTCTCTCTGCTAGGGATTGAACATAGAGTTTCATGCACAGTAGACGATCACTGTCTTCTGAGCTGCAAGACCACCTCCAAAGTGGTCTTCTTTTGTGCCTAAGGTCATAGTTACTGCATACTCTTTACCCTCCCAAGCCCACAGATGGGCTTAGTTCCAGGGTGCTCATCCTGAGAAAATGTACAGAGAAGACTCTGTGTATTACACATTGTATTTGTTTGGGCTGCTTCAGATTACAAATGCTAAACATTTTTATTGTAAGTGATAACATTATAGGCAGTTATTGCAGTGTAAAATTCAGTCATTCACAGAATCTGCATTCCACAATTTTAAGACTGGTACATGCAGGGCAAAATCCCATGTGTTCATCAGCTCATGTAAGACTGAAATGCGAGGAAAAAAAAAACAACAGAAAAAACAGTCATTACCCCATATTAAATATCCATGTTTTTATTATTTTAGTTAAGTTTAGTTTTTAAATGTGTGCTGAAGGGGTGAAAGGAGAAGGTTGCGTCTTATTCCAGCCAATAACAGATGCCCTCTCTTGCCATTCCCTGATGCAAATGGAGAAACTGGAGTTACAGCTGTCACATCTTCCTATCTCTCCCTTTCTTATAAGCATGTTAACTGGTGGCTTTGATTAAACCTCTAACTAACTAGCTGTTTTTTTTTTTTTTAATACTGTTTCCATTAGTCAAAATTATGACAAAGGCTCAGTTCGAAGTGAACAAAAGAATTACTTCACGGAACCTTCTTCCCAGTGAACTCATCCTCGCATCTGACTGCCTCTGGAGCCAGGAAGGGTCCTCCTGCCTCATTGCACTTTTTGTTCCACTGACACATTTCTGTCTCAGACTGTGTTCCTGTTCTGTCCCAGCTTTCCTCACTAGTCCTGCTCAGTGAAGTTCCACAGCACAGGCCATTGCAGTCTCCATTTGAAAAAGCTGGTAGAGTACCACCCTCTCCTGCTGGAAGTCTATGACTCCTCAGAGGATGCCGAAAAGAAAACACTTTCTTGAGGGGTACAGTCTCACCCCTGAGACTTTGCACTGCTTCCTATTAAGTGTGGGTGGAATCGTTAAAGAGACAAATGTCTTGCCTTTCCGCATCCCTGATTATTTTAGAAATATCCTGATAGGGCTTTTAACATTATCTTAATCCTCTTTCACACCTCTTAATCACCCAGGCCTCCCTTAAGACACTGTCAGGAAATTCCTTGCAGAGTTTCAAGTGGAGATTAGAGATGTGGAGAGGGTCACCTTAAACTCCAGCAGACCAAGAGTCAGTGAAGATAACATGCTTTGATATTTCGAGAGTAAACATGATGCAGTGAGTCAAAGCAAACTTACAACCAAACTCAGGTGACATTGGATTCTGAATTCCTCCCGTTTGTCAGCGGAGTTTTTCTTGTTAAGAAAATTAGATCAGAGGATAGCCTCTCTATAGCAATCTTTTCTTTAGAGATGACTTTGTTACTTGTGACAATCCCCAGCCTTCAGGAACATATGACCTTTCCTTTACTTCTCATAGATGTAAGAAAGTACCCCCAGGAAAGGTTCAGACCATTTGTTCAAAGTGAAAATGAATGTCTGAAAATTAAGCACAACCTAAGATGTGATCTATTTCTTTGTCCACTTGGGACTGTCTGGTCTAACAGCAGTTATAATTTGATTGAGGTTTGACTGCTCTTCTTTTCCAAGACAGAATTAGCCAGTTCCAGAATACCTCATGAGCAGACACAGCCTTAAAGTGAACAAACGGTTACTTAGTGACTGCTTGAGGGAAAAACGCTCCCTGGGTCCCCCTGCCCAAATAAGTCACCAAGTTTCTTTCTTAGGTTAACTAGAATATGAATCAGATAGATATCAAACAGATAGTCAATATCCTCAATATTTTACGGTGGGAGGTTAGATGTAGCATCAGAAAAGGCAAATTTGCATAAGTATTATAAGCATATTGTGCCTATTTTCCCATTCTGTTCACTGCGTCTCATTAATTCGAGTCAGACAGTACAGGATCTACAGCCCGAGCGTCTGCTCCTCTGTACCCCTTCTGCTGCAGCTCTGTCCCCAGATGGTCAAAATCCTTCCCCAGAGCTCACATCTAGTCTAGTGAGTCAGAAATGGAATAAACCCCGATCTCCTATGGATGAGAGTTTTGAAGCAAGGTAAGGGACATTTAATTTGTCTTGTATTTCCCTGTGATAAACGACGATCAGAGATCAGAGCTGCTGGATATTATGTCCACGTGTTAGCGTTGGTGATCACAAGAGACCCAGGTCTGCTATTCGCCGACCCCTTCTTGCATTGACTTATACCTGGATGCCTGTTCCTTAATATCTGAGTGCTGAGAGGAGTTTATCAAAGGACTGGAGAAGCCAAGAATAGGGTGTCTCTTGGTAGAGAGGGGAGCTACAAGGACAACTCGCCCCCCCCCCGCCCCGCCCCACCGCAGGCTGGCGGGTAGGGAGTTCAGCGCACATTGATAAGGCTTGCCAGACCCTCCCCTTCTGGCTACAGCAAGTTCTGCCCATTTTCTTCCCATTCACTTAACTGCAAGTCCCTCTTGACTGCCTCTACTGTCCCTCCTCCCGCCCTCCCCAAAGGAGGAGAAACACTAGGACATCAGGAAGGCGCTCCACTCCAGGATCGCGACCCACCACCAAGAAACCAGTAGCACGTGAGTTGTAGCAGACAGTGGTCTTGCAAATGGGCAATTGCTTATGCAAGACGTCTTCAGAATGAGGGAAAATGTGAACGGCCCACGCGCTGCCGCATCCTAACGCTCCACAGAAACCAGCTTTGGGTGTCTGAGACGCTTTTCAAGATAACGCTAGCCTCAGGGCTCAGGTGAGACCTAGAGAGAGAAAGCTGGCGGGTACCTCCTGTGCATCCTTTTTTCATCTGCCAGCAGTCTTTATCCAACAGCTTGGCCGCTCGGAGGGCTGCGCGCAGAGCGTGGAAGGGCTCATCTTCACCCGGTGACTCCCGCGGCGGAGGCGCGCGGGGCGTGCTCGCGAGCGACCAGGAAAAGTTGTGCGCACTCTTGGTAGGAGGAAAGGGAGTGGAGACCGAGCGCGGGAGAGCGCAGGGGCAAGGCAGGGAGGGGGCGGGGTGGGGGACTGCTTACATGAATTTCCAAGTGGTAGACCTGCCTCGGAGCTCTGCCCAATGAGATCCGTCAGGGGAGGCACCCGGCTCACTTTTCCACATCACTTCACAGTTACATTTGGCAGGCAAGCGGGCTCGCACGCCGGAGCGCTCGGCCCAGAATTAGTGGATGGATTTCGAATCTCCCTGCATCTTCGAAGCTCCTCCGCCGCCGCTTTGGGCATAAACCAGAGCGTCAACACGCCAGCTGTACTTTTGGGCTGCGGACACCCAGAGCCCAGCGCGCCCGCTTTGCGTCTCCGCACCAGGCTCCGCAGCTCCGAGAGGCATGAACACGATTCGGAGGCGACTACCCGGAGAGCGGGCATTCGTGGACACTTGCCGCCCTCAGGAGATGACCCCCAGCTCCTCCGGCCATTTATGAACCTGGAGGCTTGAGGTTTTTCCGCAGCCCGGAGCCCGCGACCTGAGTAAGTACTATTCCCTAACCCTGTACGCCTCCGGGCGGGGAAGAGCCGGAGGGATTGCTTCCTTTCGGAATTCCCACGCGCCCCCGGACACCTTACGCACCTGGTGGACGAGGGATACTAACCTGGTACCCGCCGCCGAGCCGCGTCTCCTTTCGCGGCATCTGTAGCTGATGGGGATGCCTTCTGTCTAACGGGTTTTGCAAACTGCTCTCTGAGCAGATACAAAGGAGTCTGGAGCCCCAGGCTGCCCCCCTTCAGTTTCTCCGCCACCCTCTCATCCTCCCGGTCGCTTGGCGATTTCGCCCTGGAGACGCAGGCAGGCGCTGCTGCAGCCGGTGCGCCTTCACTGCGGGGTCGGTGCGGTGAAAGGGAAATACTCGCCGCCTGCACAGAGGAGGCTGTGAGCCTGAAAGGAAAGCAGGCTAAGGGACCAGAGAAGCTCCTGTTTTTCTGCATGCCCCCACCTCTTAACGGTGGGAGGGCGACCCCATCGGTTGGGCCAAGGGCTACCGCTCTGCCGCGAAAGCCCCAGTGCCAGGATTTTCCACAAGTGTCTGTTCCAGGTTGGGGGGCGCGGTGCCAGCTGCAAACTTGCTGAGCTCCGGGGCCACCTAGCCACCATGCAGTCACCAAGACGCTGCTCCGCACCAGCGGAAGACCCCCAGGCAGTCCAGCCAGTGCTTGCAAGACTGCACTCATAGGCCCCCCGAAGCACCGGATGACTTCTCCCTTCCCCAGATCCCATGGTGCAGAAAGATATACCGTGATCTTGGTGCTCAGCATCGGCCAACCCTTGGGGTCCAGCCGCGCCCCTCCCCGACTGGAAGCGAATGGGGACTCCTGGCTACTTTCTGCCAGCATGGTAACAGGTTCATGAGGGACCTACCCTGGTTTCCCATAGCTCTGGCCAAGCCTGGTAAACCGTGTAAGCGTGCTGCCAGCAATGTTGATACCAACAGGTATCTAACAATTCCTCCTTTTTTTTTTTCCGTTTTCTTTTTCCCTTCCCAAGAATAAAGCCTCTCCTCACCGAATCTTGTAAAAATCTCAAAGTTTTGTGCTGGTGGCCCCTTGCCCAAAGGCATAGAACCTGAGACACATCAATGACTAGCCTGTTAGCCTCTGAGCGGAGATGGCAGCTGTTAGCTTGGATTGCTAAACGTAAGAAATCAAACAACATTAATTGTTTATTGTTGCAAACGCACAACATTAGTCCGTAATGGAAAATCAGGCTGGCAGCTGCTCACTTGAGCTCCAATTAAAGGGCAGAGCTTATAACCAAGCAACCGGGAGGGAGAAGTCCTTTCAACTTTGCCCTGGTTTCTGAGGGTTGCAGGCAGTTTCCTCCTTAGGGGGCACGATCCCAACAATCCCTTTGCTCATCGAAGCTGCTAACCAGATCAGCAGCTATTTTCTGTTAACACTCTTCACAGTGTGGGAATGAGCGGACGTCTGAGATAGTATGCAAGAGCGGTGGCCTCTCGCAACAGGGACTATCGCCAAGCAGATACAGAAACTGGGGTTGGCTGGTGCCGGTTTGACATTCCCTCCTCTTTATAACAGTCTGACAGCTATCTGGATGCTTAAAAGCTCTAGCTAGGCTGTCACCTCTGCCTTCATTATATGAGCATTTCAACTGGAAAACTATATGTGAGAAAGAGATATTTATGTAAGATTTGAAAGTGGGATTTTCCATCCATTCAGTCTCGCTGCTGTACTTCACTGCATGCAAAATGAGCCCTGTCGTTCTGCTAAACACTACTGAAATTTCTCCTAGCTACCGCCTTTCATCAGTGGCCGGTTTGGCAGAGATTTTGTCTGTAATATGTGTGTTTGTGAATGTGTTTGTGTGTGTATGTGTGTTGAGGTGGGGATGTGTCTTTTACTGGAGAGACTTGCACCTTTGAAGGTTGTTTTGCGAGGGTTATATTTTTTTTTTCTCCATCAAAGACAGCTCTTCATAATAGCGATGTGCACATAGGTTTACCCACCTCCCTCTATGGTTGAAATTCTAGGACCGGCTCTCTTAAACAATAAAGGGACAGCAGATTTCTCTAAGTCAGCTTTAGCGGATTGAAAAACTCCTTGTCAGACTGTCAATTTTTTTTTTCCTGCAAAAGTCCCATGGACTTTTAAACTCTGTGTGTGTGTGTGTGTGTGTGTGTGTGTGTGTGTGTATTTCCTTTTCTTTTTTTCCCCTCTGGCCTCAGAAGAGGGTGACTAATTGAGGAAAATTCCTTGTGAAAATAAATAGAGGATCCTTTCTGCCACCTCCAGGATGGCTTCATTCAGGACTGCTGCAGACAGCCCATATTTCTCATTTTGCCCTAAAGATTGTGGTGTGAGAGTAAAAATCAAGTGTTCACCATCACAAATGGGTCAGGCACTAGATAAGGACAGTTATTGCACTGAGACCTGTGCTATAATTCTGTGTATCAAACTTTTAAAATGTCCTGATTTTTAAAAATTTCTCATTGTTATGGTTATTAAAAACTGACTGATTTTGTTTTATCATTTATTGTCTCCGGAAGCCCTCCAGCCCTCAAAGGGGTATATCTCTGCACCCCAAACTATAGCACTTCTTGACTGAACTTCTGGTGTTCAGGGTACCTTTCTTAAGGTCTTGATGCTGTTTGAATCTGGCTAAAGGGCACACCATTTTAGAGTAGCCCTCGCCTTACCTGCTGCATGCATATCAACTGTAAAAGTAAAGATGTCTGTACCCTGGTATCAAGTGTTTTAGAGCACAGCGATTAAAACATCATTCATCTGCAGCTTCTTAGTGTGGCATTAAGTATCACATACAGGGACCATGCAGGACCATGTAACATCAACCATGTAAAGACTCCAAAAAGAGGAAAGTACTGTTAGACTGCTCAGTAGGATGAGAGACCTCACTGAGAAAGTATTTGTAAAGACTAGTCTAGGAATATGCTCCTTTCATAATAGTTCTAGGAAAATAGGTAGATGTTTAAGGTCCATAGCTCTTTGTTAGTCTAGAGGATCAGACAGTTCAAAGAAATCAAGGAGACTCCAAAGAAGGAGGATACAATAGTTCTGATCAAGAAGCTATGACTTTGGGCTCTCTTCCCAAGTTTCTTTCATTGTTTATCAGAGAAGGAAAAAGAACACACATATGTCAGAAGGTAGAGTCCACACTTCAATGACTGCTCAGAAGACCTTGTTAAAATAAATAAATTAATCCCCCCCTAAAAAAAAGTATTATTCTGCTCAAAGATGGGTTTATTGTGGCTTTTCCAACATCCCAGTTTGAACACAATTTCTAGGCAAAGCCACAAGCAGTCTGTAAGTTAAACTGGCATTCAGTTTGTACTTCTTACCAGTTTGCTGGCCTATAAGCGAGGTTTTGTGCCTGACAAGTGAACAGACAAGCACAATCAGGGCAGCCTTTTCATCGTAGGTGCAACCTAAAATCACCAGACTCTCTTTAAAAACACTCTGCCCAGAGGTGCTGCTAGTGCTTATTTCCATTATTTTATATTTATTACAAAGTGATTCAGAGCCACAAAGAAAGAGATTAGAGTTTTCTTTTTGCATTTCGTGTTCAGCACTGTTGACATTCAGGGATGAAATGAGACCATCGTTGCCCATTATTTCAAGGAACATCACCTTATTTGGGGGTATTATATGTCGACTGCAGGTTGCTGTCACAAACTAAGGTACACTCTTACAGTTTTCTCTCATGTGTTAGTCACAAACAAACAAATACATACACAACTCATGGCCAGATAGCTTATCAAAAACATGCCGAGATAATTAACTGATGAATTGGTTGGAACAGAGGAACATAATCATGTTATCCTTATCATTTCCTCTGCCTTTAAGTTGTGTGATTTGTACAACTGGTTTTTCAGATGTGTATAATGATCAGTCTTTTAAGCAATATTGTCTGTGGGGCACGTATGACACTGTGGGGATTTCACCTAGAATCTTCTGTGTAATTATGTACTGGAACGGTACTTTGCCTTTGATGGGCAAAGGCCATCATCTGATTGAGCAAGGCTTAATTACCCAAGGGAATGGTAGTACCATCCCCTCACATTCTCCTGGAAAGTTGAGCTTCGCAGTGTGTTTGTGCGGAGCTGTTCCTATCTCTGGAACCCACTTCAGATGCAACCATGGGCAGAAAATTAGCTGAACCTGGGAACTTCAAAAGGTCAGGAAAGAAATGAGTTCAAGGGATGCCATTTAGTTTCCTCTCCCATATGTTGCTGCAGACTAAATCTCCATTGCCACTTCACAAAATAACACTGGTACCAATATTGTTTCCTTTTCTATCATGTCCCAAGCTTTATTTCTTGAGTTTTAAATGTCATGTACTAGTCCCTATCATAAACATCACTCATCTTCTTGCCTGTAAATATCTTTTTTTTTAAAAAAAAAGTTCTCCTTGTAGGTAGAAATGTATAGATGTGATTGTCTATATCTTTTAAAGAAAATATCGTAAGAAAAATACCACACTTGTATTTATAACCTTCAAACATTTTCCTTTCCCGTCACCGTTACTAAAGATAATTTTGAATGCTGGGGATGGTTGGTCCAGGGCCAGGTACAGAGTTAGTGCCCAGTAAACATTTACTTAATGCATTAAGAAATTAGCAAAGACTCTGCCCCCTACCTTTCCTAAGCATTTTCATTAAAGGGATGGAGGGTAAACAATCATATGTAAAGTCCAATAACAGGACATGACTATTATGATTGTTTCTCTAGAAATTTCATAAGTCCTCCTTAGTTTATGTTGAGACACAACTTTTACCATTTAAAAAATCCGTTTTAATCCATCTACCACATATCAGGTTTTTTCTCTATTCAAAATAACTTTAAACAGTATAGGGATATAAAATAAGATATAGTTCAGTGTGCTAAAACTGAAAATCTATCCAAAATTAGGTCTACATCACAAGATGCTATTAAACTGTATAGCACACATAGTTATATTTCATTAGAGAAAATATTCTAATTGTCCAGTCACTGTGTGGGCAATTCAGGGTCTGCACTTTGAATACCTCTGAGGGAATGTAAAAGAGAAAGGAGGAATCTCTTTCTCGTAGTCTTTGATTCTACCCTACATATTCATTCATATTCATTATTTTTTCTCTCCCTCCCTCTCTATTGCCCCTCCTCCTCTCAGGTTTTTATTACATTTATACAGAATGTTCGATGTGTGAATGTTCACTTCAACACTATATGAATTATAGTAGTAGTATCTGAGAAAACAATTTTATAACCCTCAATCTTAATTTAAACCTGTAAGTTACCTGGTCCTTGTATACATGCACAAGAGAAAGATATGCCATGAGAGACTTCTTCCACGGAAATATTTATTATCATTTGAGGCCTATGAAATATGCTTAGCAAACTGAATATATTTAAATGAAACATTAAATTGAGTATCCTTGAACATTTGTCAAATAGCATTGAGTAAAAGGGTCATATATATTTGCATCCTATTAACATTTAGAATAATGCTTACCATACCTTCTTTCCAGGTAGAATAATGCATAAAGGAAGACTGTTTCATTCTTTGTGTGACATAAATGACACAAAATAAGTAGATGGGAAGAGTGATATAAATATCATAAGGAGATAATTCTTTTTTTTGCATAAGAAATCAATTTTCCCAAACCTGTCATAAAATTTACAAGGAGATAATCCTTCCTTTATTCATCTATTGCTGTCAGAGCTTAACAAATAGAATTTAACTTTGTGTCCAATATTTCTATATTTAA